TTGGATCATCTCCTTTAGAGCAGAGGTCTGCAGGTCAAGTCCCAAGCATTGGAATCTCAGTGCCAGGTGAAGACTGCACAGCAGCTGATGGGGAGGGGATGATGTGGTCATTTATTTGGGGAAATACCCAGTGTAAAACTAGCTCATATAGAAGGGTAACGCTTCGTAACTAGGAGTGCTGTCATGGGAAGTGCATATACCAACATTGACCTGGATTTGAACCTATCCCAACCCTTCCAAGCTGAGTGGCATTGGACAACCTGTTTCATCTTTCAGACTTTCAATTTTCCTCGGGAACAAGACGACACTAGCTGGATGGTGTTGAGGCTTAAAGGAGAGTTAAGGACCTGCTACACTGTCTCTTTGCTCTCGACCGCGGCCCTCGGTGGTGTGTGTCTTCCAATCTCTCTTCTTTACTTCTGGCCTGCCCTCATTTTTTTAAATAAAATTTTAATTTTAATGTTAAAGATTGGGGTACAATTCAGGGTTAGGTATACAAATGGTCATTGTACAAGTAAAGTTGGGGCCTCATTTTGGTCCCCACTTCACCTGGTTTGAGATCAGGTACCCTTATTGATGAAATGCACCCCACCCCCCATCCCAGCAGTTTCCCACTACTGCCAATCACTTTCTTATAGTATTATAATTGTTCATGGTCCGCTTATGAGTGAGAACATGTGATACTCAGTTCTTTGTTTCTGTGATAGATCACTGAGTATTATAGACGCTTAAGTCCATCCAACTTGCTGCAAAGTTCATAATTTTGTCCTTCTTTATGGTTGCATAATATTCTATCATGTGTATGTACCACATTTTAAAAATCCAGTCTACTTTCAATGGGCAGTATGGTTGGTTCCATGTTTTTTCTATTGTGAATAGTGCTGCAATAAATATATGTACGCAGGTATCTTTTTTGTAGAATGATTTGTAGCCTGCACTCTTTTGCCCCACATTTGGTTTTTTATTCTTTGAACAATTAAATTTAAAACTGAATACTATTTTTAAAATATTGGTATATATCGAATCCATCCATGTCTTCTCTTTTATGAATCTTTAAAATCACTTTTTAACATTTTTTTAAAAATACTTCATGTCCCAAAGCAAAAAAACAGTGGCATTTTAAAAGCATTTGTGTGTCTGAGGCTACGGGTGGGATTGGCTTTTACCTTTTATAAGTGAATGACCCTTATTACTAAAAAAGTTTCTCTATCGTGGTGTAGAATTTGGGGCTGTATCTTGAGCGATTCCAAAATCACAACTTGTCTTGAGGTAGTGACATAATCTCTGTATTAACATCAGCTTCACTGCATGTAAAATATAGTCATACTAATGTTTACTTGGGATTATTTAGAACCGGATCAAAGCTTAGCCCTGCAGGGGTGAAACAGGAGGTGTGGCAGTGTCATAGCCAGGAGCAGATGCAGGGACCCCAAGCTGGTAAGGGAGTAGAAATCTAATCTGAATTGGGTATTTGGATCAAGTTTGGAGAATATAGGGTCTTCCCTCAAGTTCTCACATTGTTACATAGTCTGGGCAGTCAAGAGTCATCATGGGATGGTGGCTTCAAGGGGCGCCTGGTCTTATCACAGTTATCCTTGTATATGTCCATGATATAAGACCTATGGAGGAAAACTGCTGACCTCTCATGCTTGTTCCATTCATTCCTTCACTGAACAATTCTTTGAGTGCCAATTACACAGTAGGCACATTGTCCATGGTACCCAAATGAGTGAATCCCAAGCCCCACCTTTTACTGGACCAAGGATGCAGTGAGAGATATATCTACAAACAGACAATTAGGTGATGTGCTACCACTAGGGTAGCCACAGGCACTTTGAAAGCTCAAAGAGAGCAAGTCTAACTGTTGGCAGAATGAAGGGGAAGAAAATTCTTCCAGGATGTGTGATATTTGTGGTGAACTTTGAAAGCCAAGGCGTCGGCAACTTGACTTCTAGCTCCAGTTTGGTGTTTGCACCCAACCTTGGCTTGTTCCCTGACTCACAGCCAATTTCCTCATCTCTGAGGTAGAAAGACAGTGCCTACCTTTCCTGTCTCTGGAGGTTGGAGTGAGGTAACAGTGACACTGTGTGTGAGGCAATGCTTTGTATGGAAGTTCTTCCTTGTGTCCCAGCAGCCTGAGTCTGCAAGATGGTGGATTGGCTGGGGTTTAGGGTTCAGCGTGTCTGTGAACTTAAAGTTTACCCCCTTTAGACCAGTATAACTAAGACATTTTGGTTATGACCCAGACTTTCTTCTCTGACAATAGAGTCTGTTATTGGAATCCAATTGTCTGAGTAATCTAGTTTTTTTCTTTTGCCAAATGTGTGAGCTTATAGAAATTATTTAGCCCATCTGAGTCTCAGGTTTCCCATCTGTAAAGTGAAGATAATAATAGTACATACTTCATAGAGTGGTTACGAGAATTAAAGGAGGTAATTCAGATGGAGTACCTGGCATATTGTGACTATACTAACATTTGCCATTGCTGAGACTGGGTTAGTAATCCAGAAGGGGTAGCAAAGAATCAGGATGAGTCTCCTGCTAGCCACGTTTTGTAGTTGTTTATACCATTTTTGATGTCATCTTGACCCACAGAGCACACTGGGTAGACATGTCCTATTTACCCGTGTTGTGGGTAGTCCAGGTAGTTGAGACTGGAGGAATTCTTTATGACTATTATACATTCCAAAAATCCTGGAATATTATTCAGTCTTAAAAAGGAAGGGAATTCTGACATGTGCTAAACAAAGCAAACCAATCACAAAATAACAAATAATCTATTATTCCACTTGTATGAAGCACCTAGTCAAACATAGAAACAGAAAGTAGAATAGTGGTTGCCAGGGACTGGGGAGAGGGAGGAATGAGGAGCTATCATTTAATGGGTACAGAGTTTCAATTTCGCAAGATGAAAAGAGTTCTGGAGATTGATTGCATAACAATCAATCAATTGATTGCACAATCTGATTATACTTAACACTACTGAACTGTATACCAAAGTTAAGATAGTAGCATTCATATTATGTGTATTTCACCACAATTTTAAAAATAATTTAAAAAAATATTTAAAGAGAGACGATGTGAGCAAAAGCAAGCATAGCCCATCTCCCCTTATGGAATGTACAGCCTGGTTGGGGAAACACCTATTAAACAGAGAGTCACATTAACGGGCAAAATGCAGCTTGGACAAGTGTTATGAACGGAAGAACCCAGCATACCAGGTCTTGGCCTCATCAGGGAGGCCAGGCCAGACCAATAGCAAAGGTGAGCAGGAGCTGAGAGACCGTGTTAAGAATAGGAAACAGCAAAGGCCACAAGGAAGGTCTGAAGGAAACCAGTGTGGCTGGAACACAGAAAATGGAAGCAAGTGTTCTGTGAGAAGAAGCTGGTGAAGGTGGTAGGGTCTGACCCCACAGTCTGCTTGGTCACACTTTGAGTTTTGTCTTTCTTCCTGAGCAGAGTGGGAGGCCATTGAGGGTTCTGAGCTGAAAATGGAGAGAAAGACAGGCAAGCAGGTTTGTGTTTTGAGATCAATATAAAGGGACATTTTTTTTCCCCCAAGGAAGAATCTTACCAAATCCTACAAGTTTTATCTCAATCAGGCCCTTGCAACAGTCCCCATTCTAATATTTGCAGGGCCCTGGCAAGAGTATAAGTGGAGACACACGCCCTGTAAGTTAAATGGTTGCAGGTTATAATCAAGCTAACGAACTCGTCAATATTTTCTACCCTCCTACCCCCACAAACATGTTACTGTAACTAAAATGTACAAAAAGATGTGTGCAACTATGCTTTTTATATGACTAAGAGTCGGCAAAATATCAAAGACAGTTGAATATAACTATAATTGCACAGCCTAGGTGCTTGGTTGGGCCAAGATGTGGATGAAAAATAATAAAGGTATTTATGATTAATAAATTTTTCTTATTTCATAATTTTTGCCACCACTATAGCAAAAACCACTAATTATATTATCCTAATTAAGATTTTCATGTAATTTGTATTCTTATGACAGGAATACTGAGTTAAGTAACCTTTTTTGTATCAGCTTTATAGAGATATGATTTACATACGATACAATGCATCTATTTAACGTATACAATTTTCTTAAGTTGTTTTAGTTCTGACCTAGTTTCTCATTCATTTCCATTTGAAGAAAGTTTTATTTCAGCTGAAACTTTGCCCTGCTGAGGGCATATCATCCTGAACTGTTAATAAAATTTTTAAATCAATACTTAGATTTGGAAATGAGCCATGCAAAGGACATATCATGGCAAATGGGATTGCATATGATAAATTACCTTTATTATAGAAAATATTAGACAATATTTTAATTCTATTACATAAATCTCTGTCAATTTTTCAAGCGATATCTCAACCTAATTTTAATGTAAAGTCTTGGCATCATAGTTTGCATATGTTATATCTGGACATCCGATACACATTTAAGAAAAATAAGAATGGTTTAAAAATATTGGGACGTGTCCCTTGGCTGCATTGTGAGTTTTGAGAACCTCTTGAGCTACACATTGGGACATGAAGAAAAGCAAGAAACAGGCATGGGTACTAGACATAACTAGAAAACAGTGTTTCACTGTGCAAGGATCAAGCATAGTCCTGTATCTGAAAGGAAGAAATTGACCTATTGATTAGGCTTTTTCTCTTCCCCAAGGGTTTCAGCTGCTCAAATCCTTTCTGCACCTGAAGCAACCCCTATCATGATCACTGCCATATTCGTAGTGACAACCCCTCAAATGCTCAGGGCTCTCAGACATAGTTGCCTGTTGTTTCAAGGACTTAGTATTTCCCTGGATTTAGGATGCTGCCCAGGGCTTAGGATGACACTACTCTGTAGCCTCAAGTTGCCTGAGCATTCAGCAGACACTTTTCAATTTCATCCCACAAACCTATTAATTGATATGGACTAATACTGCTAGAAAGTCCTTCCTTTCTCAATGTGCTCTTTTTGACTGTGTTTTTCTACTTGTTTTGTCTCATAGGAACTGGTGAAAGTGGCAAAAGCACCTTTATCAAGCAAATGAGAATTATCCATGGGTCTGGTTACAGTGATGAAGACAGAAAGGGGTTCACGAAGCTGGTTTACCAAAACATCTTCACCGCCATGCAAGCCATGATCAGAGCGATGGACACCCTAAGGATACAGTATGTGTGTGAGCAGAATCAGGTAAAGAGCTTAGGGGTACTTGCCCTGTTTGTGAACCTGTGCCTGCCTACTCTGGGAAGGATATGTCTTTGAGCAAAAAGATTTGCTGAGTGCTTTGGTCAGCTGCCAGATGAAGCTCTTGGGTTCAAACTGTGGAGTGGAGATCGAGAGGAGTTTGAGGAGTTTAGTTATCCCTGTGGTCTTATTCCACCAGGAGTTCTGTCAGAGTGGTAGTGTGAGGCTACCAGTGTGCAAAGATTCAGACGTTTGGACAATTATTTCAGTTGCTTATTTCAGGCACTGAGAAAAGGAAGACAGGCATTTTTTTTCTTTCCACTAAGAGACCTGGTTAATTTCTTCACTGGAGCAAAGGGATGTTGGGTTTACAATGGCTGGCTTTTCAAGAATTCCCAGCCTCAGGAAATATTTTCACTAATGTATTGCAGACTACTCAGAGAAATCAGTAGGTTTTGTTTATATTGGGAGCTGGCTCTTCTTGGGAACTAGGTGATAGCTCGTGAGAGCATTGCTTATGTCCCAGAAAGCAATGTGCTCTCATGAAGTCAACTTGGCATTGACTTTGCTATCACCATAGATTATTTAAAACACAAATCTGTTTAAAACCAGGGGAAAATAATGAGGCAAATACAATTTTATATCATCTATTAAAATGCAGATACTTAGGAAAATAATACTGTGTCTAAGTTCTTTAAGCATCCAGATTAGAAACAAGAGTTCATGTAAAATAATTGATAACAGGTCGGGCATGGTGGGTCACACCTGTAATCCCAGCACTTTGGGAGACTGAGGAGAGAAGATTGTTTGAGCTCAGGAGTTCAAGACAAGTCTGAGCAACATAGCAAGACCTTATCTCTACAAAATAAAAATTAAAAAACTAGCCAGACATGGTGGTACACACCTGTAGTCCCAGCTTCTCAGGAGACTGAGACAGAAGGATTTCCTGAGCCTAGGAGGTCGAGGCTGTGGTGAGCCACCACACTTCAACCTGAGCACTAGAGTAAGACTTTGATGTAAAAAGAAAAATTGATACCAAATTACATGACATGGCAATAAAGAGAAAAATTCTGTGTCAGATGAGTCTTTCATGGATCTATTTAAGAAATATTGACTGCTAAAATGCCACAATTACATGAGCTTTACTATGGACCCCCAAGGACATTGTCATGAACTTCTGGCACCTGTACTCATGCACATTCCATATATAGATGATAAGCAGAGTTTCAAAGTAGTCAAACAATTTACCTTTTCGCTTTTTGGTGACTAGGTTACATAGGATAACAGTATGCACCAAATTGCATACTTACCTTTACATGGTCTCTGCAAACTGATGTCTTTACCTTCATTTCCTTACAGTCTTAGAGAAATGAAGGAATGCATCGTGATTCCAGTTTCCACCTTCAATGGTGTTATTCTAAACACCATTGGGTGGTGTGAGATAGCCTATAGTATATCTGGTGCCAAGTAACGTAAGAGGTGCACACTGAGCCACTGGGAGACTCTAGACCTAACCGTGATGATTCTTTTATATATGACTTTTGAGTACACACTCTATCTTTTTGAAAGTGTACAATTTTTACTCGGCCTACATAATGTACTCTAAAAGTAGAGTTTTTGTGGAATTTAAGATGATTTCAGAGAAGAGGCATGGCAGGAACATCCTTGGGTGATTTTGGTTCCTCTATTTCCCCCGCTGTAAAATGTGTTTTGTTAGCCAATCATTGTGAGGTGACTGGACAACTCTTGGAAATCGGGGGTGTCTTTGAAGACAGACCTGTCTGGGAAGAAATGGTTCAATTGTAAGCCACTTCTGCTTACTTTGGCAACACATGTTTGTAAAACCCAATCAGGCTTGGTAATCAAGGCCTCTCTCTGGGTTTTTGCTTTTGTTTTGTTTTCCCTCCTGGCCTCTTAGAGGTACTCAGTTTATATTTTAAACAAAATGGTTTGATGGGGTTTGACATCCACCACTTTCTCCTTTTCCCTTGATCTTAATTCTTTTTCACAGGCCATCCCCATTTGCCCACAACAAAGTACTTCAAACTGGGTGACGTAAAAGAGAAATTCATTATCGTCACAGTTCTGGGCACTAAAAGTCCAAAATTAAGGTTGATTGGTTCCGGTCTGAGGCTCTGAGAGAGAACCTGTTCCCTGCTTCTTCTCTAGCTTCTGGTGGTTGCTGGAAATTCTTCATAACCATTGGCTTGTAGATGCATCACTCCAACCTTCATCTGCCTTCACATGACATTCTCCCCTGTGTCGTTTGTTCACGTGACCTTGTCCTCTTCTTTGTGTCTGTGTCCAAATTTCCCTATTCTTTCAAGAATAAATTAGGGCCCACCCTGATCCAGTATGACTTCATTTTAACTTGATTGCATCAACAAAGCCCTATTTTCAAATAGTTTCAGGTGGGCATGAATTTTGGGGAAATGCTATTCAATCTAGAATAGTCTGCCCTTTGGCTTTTCAAGGTTCATGTCCATCCTACATGCAAAATACATTCGCTCCATCTGGCAACCCTAAAAGGACTAACTCATTCCAGTGTTAACTCTAAGACCCAAAACTCAAAAAGTCCTAAATGTCATTGTCTAAATCAGGTATGGATGAGACTCTGGGTGTGGGTCACCTTGGGCAGGATTCATCTCCATCCATGAGCTGTGAAAATAGGAAGCAAGTCCATTTTACCTCCTATCTTCTCATTTGCCACATCTGGCTCCATTCTCAATGCCTTTCTTCTTTCTACTTCAAGCAGATTCATGCTCCATAATTTTCTCTTACCCCTCAAACAAGATGCCTGGGATGAACCGCATGTTGGGATGGCTTAAGGACAGGCAGAAGACTGAGTGAAAAAAACACTGGATTGGATCCCCCAAGTCTGGACTTTCGCTCATGGCTTTCCTGGGTATAGGGCAAGGGTCAGAAAACTTTTCTATAAAGGGCTAGAGAGTACATATTTTTGGCTTTGTGGACTATACAATTTCTGTCCCAGCTACTCAACTCTGCTATTGTAGTGCAGAAAACACTACTGGATATGAGTGGATTTAGTCCATGGGCTACAGTTTGCTGACCCTGGTCCTGGGGGAGTCATACTCTCTCTGTTTTTCCATTTTTCCACCTGTTAAATACATACTTTGTATTTAGACATGCAGACAACACATACTTTGTCTACCTCAAAAGCCAACATGAGCAAAAGGAAGTGCTTTGCAAGTCATATGGTGCTCAAGAAACATGAGGTTATTATTGGGGCAAGTTCAAAAATCGAATATGGATTCTATTTTCCCTGTTATTTGTTTGTGTCATTTTCATCCATTCTTTCTCTATTATTTTCCTGTAGGCTATTATTATTTCCAATAATTTTCTCTGTGAGCTAGTCTTTTTTATTTATTTTTATGTATTTATTTATTTTTTTGTGTGAGCTAGTCTTGATTCCAAACATGAAACTATAACAAAGTACCATGCTTGGATCACAAAGTTAAAAAATGATTAGTGTTTCAGTAGTAGTCAGCAATTAGTTTAAGAAACATGCTATATGTACCTTCTTCACGAAGTACTGGCATAACTTGAAACAATTGATTAGTTAACACAGTGATGAATAAAAACTTAATTCACTTTCATTTTCATATTGTTGCAATCTTTCCCTCACTTCTTAGTGCTGAGTATTTATTTCCATTACCTGTTTTTTTCCGGAGCTGGGAACACTTTCTTAAAAGTATGCAGAAGAAGAGAATTAAAAGTTGTTTCACAACAGTGGTCCCTAACCTTTTTGGCATCAGGGACCGGTTTCATGGAAGACAATTTTTCCACCGATGGAGCATGGGGGGAGGGGGGAGGGTTCATCAGGCATTAGATTCTCCTAAGGAGCATACATCCTAGATCCCTCACAAGCACGGTTCACAATAGGGTTTGCACTCCTATGAAAATCTAATGCTACTGCTGATCTGACAGCAGAAGGAGCTCTGCCCACCTGCCTCTCCTCTCCTGCTGTGTGCCCTGGTTCCTAACAGGTCAGGGACTGGTACCAGTCTGAGGCCTGGGGCTTGGGGATCCCTGTTTTAGAGGGTTTTATTTTATTTTATTTTATCTTCAAAGTTTTATTTATTTTTTTATTTTAAAGTTGTGGAGTACAATTCAGAGTTAGGTATACAAATATTCATTGTGCAGATACCCTCGTTGATGAGGTGTACCCCACTTCCCCAGGCTGTTCCCCACTACTGCTGATCTCACCTCCCCACCGCTCCATGCCCCTGCAGTTTCCTGCTACTGTCAATTCTTTGCTTATAGTATTGCGATAGTTGTTCAAGGTCCACTTATGAGTGAGAACATGTGATACTCAGTTCATTGTTTCTGTGAAAGATCGCTCAGTGTTATAGACTCTAAGTCCATCCAGGTTGCTGTGAAGTTCATGATTTTGTTCTTCTTTATGGCTGTGCAATATTCCATTGTGTATATGTACCACTTTGTTTTTATCCAGTACTCTTTTGATGGGCAGCACGGTTGATTCTATGTTCTTGCTATTGTGAACAATGCTGTGATAAACATACGTGTGCAGGTATGTTTTTTATAGAGAGACTTGAGTTCTTCTGGGTGTATTCCCAGTAGGGGGATTGCATGGTCATATGGAAGGTCGATTTTTAGAACTTTTAGGAATCATCACACTGTTTTCCACAGAGGCTGTACTAGTTTACACTCCCACCAACAGTGTAGAAGTGTTCCCTTTTCGCCACATCCTCTTCAGCATCTATTTTTTGAGTTACTGATAATGGCTATTCTGACTGGAGTTAAGTGATATCTCAGTGTAGTTTTAGTTTGCATTTCTTTGATGACTAGTGAGGTTGAGCATTTTTTCATGTATCTGTTGGCTGCTCATATGTCTTCTTTTGTGAACTGTCTATTCATATCTTTTGCCCACTTTGTAATGGGGCTGTTTTTTCTTTTTAGCACGTTTGAGTTCTTTGTAGATCTTAGATGTTAGGCCTTTGTCAGACATAGAGTTGGCAAATATT